AAAGAAAAAAATTCTCAGTGTTAATTTACTAAAAGTGTATTTTAGTATAGTATCTGACTATCATCAATAATTGTCTCCCAAAAAATTGATACAGAATGTTTAAATTGATAATTTTATGTGATATTTTTTCATCAGGTCAAAATATCAGGTCTTTAGTATATCAGGTCTTTAGTACGTTCCGTCCTTTTGGGGTCCTTTTGGGTAAATCGACGCACCGCTAGTCTAGGGGTGGATCCAAACATTTCCACATGCACCTTTTTTCTTTTCCCAGCCTTTCCATCATTTCACAATGCAGAGAGAGCTTTAATGAAATTTATGCTGGTATTAAGAAATCAATAGTTCTGAAAGAAAACCACAATGTTTTTATTTCCATGTCAATGACATTATTGCACCCTAGACGGAAGTTGACCACAGGCTGACCACTTCCGTTCACAAGTTTGTCTAAGGGCCTTAGTAAAAATTTTAGGCCTAATGCTAACCTACAAGTAATTAGTTTGAGATCACATACGTTTACAATATAGCATTGAGTAGAATAAATATATACCTCGTCATGCTCCTGTTTTTACCATTTAACAGCTGTATACATGGCCTTTAGTGCACTCGCCTAAATCGGCCAGTCTCGGGTTCACTTTTGGGTCAATTTTTTAACTGGTACTCCCAACAGTCTGAGATGGAACCAGTAAATGGGCTATTTTTTCCGCAGGTATAGATAGTTTTCGATTGACCTAAATTTAGCAAAAGTTACCTCCCGTTGGCCGACATACTGGAGGTCCAAATGCTCATATTCCTTCATTGTTCAAACAATTTTAAATTTTTATATTTGCGATTTTGAATTAGGAATCATTATTTTTCTGAAGTATATAAATTTTTGGAAGCCTCCTTTATTTAAAAAAAATTATTTAATAAAGATTTTCCACCAAATATTTATGCTATATTTTCTTAAACTTGGTAAGACAAAGAGGAAAACTCACCGAGTCGACCTCCAATATGGCGGCCAACGGGAGGTAACTTTTGGTCAATCGAAAACTATCTATTAATTTATCGAACTTTTCAGTAAATTAAAAAAATACGTTATTCTACGGAAGCGTATTAGGGCCGCAGCAGCATCTTTTATTTATTTGTTTTAACAAATCAGACCTGCCAAGTGACCCGCATTCGGTGGGTCACACCCGCAAAATTGACCTCTCACCCCCCACTCATAATGACCCGCGGCGTGTCATTGTTTTCACCCGCAAAATCGATCATCCCAATTTTTTGACCCAATATTAATTAAGCATGTTTGTCTCAACAAGAAAGATCTGAAAACTCATCCTAAAATTTCCGATTTGTGTTTTATAAATCAGGATATGAACATCTTGTTTATTCAATGCACACAGATTAGTATCTTTGTTTGCCGAGGTGTTAAAAAAACTGTTAATTAGCCACAGGAAATCCTTCACGCTTGATCGCAGACTGACACAGCTGTACAGGTAATATGCCTGGAGCATTTAGGGGATTATACGTAACCATTTGAAGGGGTATATGCATGGTGAACCACACAGATTTAGAGGTTAATTAAATATCATTTTATTAAAAACAGAAATTAATTAATTAAATACAATGATATGATAAACATTGGGATCGTTTTTTAAAAACGAAAGTAAAAAAACGAAACTACAAAGCATAACTGATAACAGCTGATTTTATCAGCTCTCGTATATTGAAATTATTGTTAAGTGTAGTGGTTAAAAGAAAATGATATTAATTAAGATAAAGCAAAAGAGTCTAAAGTGAAGTATATTGAATTTCTCCCCCCCCCCCCTCCCAAAATGTAGTATTGTACGTTGTGTTTCTTTGTTAAACATCCTTCATAATTTATTTTGTAGTATTTGATTCATTTAATTTTTTTGTGTGTGTTTTAAAATTAATAATAGGAAATTAGATGGCACATATTTCTTACCACCACCCCCTGCAGCAGCAATTTTTCAATATTAATCTTTCAATGTAATGTCTAATTACAATTTTCTGATTGTGTAATATGTTGAAAATTAATCATTGTAGAATCTAACAAATGTTTCCCAGAAACTTTTTAAATTTTTAAAACTTTGCAAAAATTCTATTGAACTAAAAGTATCTGAATCTTACTATCAATCTGAAAGTGTTCTTATACAAGCAATTTTAAGTAACCTGTCCTAAGTAAAAATTAAGTCTGCAATAAAATATAACATATACATGCATGTGTTTGACTGTTTGCATCGATGCCTAAAAATTAGGGAGCATTTTGTTACTCAAGCCTCAACAAAAATGTCGCCGCGCGCTATGACCCAACATTTCAATTCTGAATGTTGGGTCATGACCCCCCACAGCATCAATTTTGGTTGGCAGGTCTGACAAATTATTAATTTATGTAACAATTTACTAATTTGTTATATAACAAATTAATAATCTAGCTAGCTGTTATAACAAATTACTATTTTTGGACATTTGACACAGAACTATGGAATCTATATCAGATTAGAAATTTTAGAAAATATTGAATTTGTGAAGAAACAATAAGCACACGCTCTAGCTGGTACGGAAGCCCATTTAGGACCTATCAAAAATATTTTTTGAATTCGATAAAACGAATATGTCAAATTTGTAAAAACTAAATTTAATTTGTCCGATAACAATTTCTTTGAATTCGTTAAAACGATTTTAATGTATTTTAACAAATTTGATGAATTCGTTATAACAAATAATGTAGTTTGTACCAACAGATTAAAATCGATATAACAATTTCTTAAATTTGTTATTATACAAATATGGACTCAATGTAGGTCAATGTAGGTCGATATCCTCCATGTATCTGAGGTCAATATCTGTCAGCCTGGGTCATTATAAATGCATATTGACCGTGCATTGAGTCCATATTTATTATATTATATAAATAATATTTTCCTAAATTTATTAATACAATGTATATCTTCCTAATGTTTACAAAGATAGTAATTTAACCAAATTAATAAGTTGAATGTAAATGATTCAGAATTTATTGAATGTTACTTAGAGGAACTTGCTTCGGTAATAAATTTTAACCCATAGCTTGATATTAACGCAAGATATCTATCTCCAAATAACACAGAGTACCCCCTCCCCCAGATTGAGAATTGCAATCGTTTACACTTGCAGAGGAAATTATATGCAACGACAAAATATGAATATTTATGTCTTCTACGATAAGATACAGTCATACATGGCGCGCTCGTCTTTATTTTCTTTAGTCTCCGTAATCGTGAAAACAGCGTCAAAACTCTGCTCGCCAAGTGAAATGTTATGTGCCAAGTATTCCCAAAAAATGTTCACAGATATCCTTGTAATATTGTTTTGTATTCTCAGAGTTCTTCACTATATCTTTTAAATTCTCCTCTCCAACAATTTGCAAACTTCCACTAAGGCGAAAGTGAAAACGAGGCAGCTCATGCGAGTCATTATTTGCTTTCAGCGGTCGTTATTGAAAAATAATTACTTCGTATTGACCAATCAGATTACCGGATTTCACAAAGTTATATAATATAAGAGATTAAATTCATTATAACAAATTCAAAGAAATTGTTATTATACAAATATGGACTCAATTTAGGTCAATATGCATCTATAATGACCCAGGAAGACAAATATTGACCGAAGATACATGTAGTATATCGACCGAGGGCGCTAGCCCGAGGTCGATATACTTCATGTATCTGAGGTCAATATCTGACTTCCTGGGTCATTATAAATGCATATTGACCGTGCATGGAGTCCATATTTATTATATTATATAAATAATCATTTCCAAAATTTTTTTTAGTACAATGTATATCTTCCTTATGTTTACAGAGATAGTATTAACCATAAATAAGTTGAATGTAAATTTTTCAGAATTCATTGAATATCACTCATAGGAAATTGATTCGGTAATAAATTTTAACCCATATCATTATAATAACGCAATATATCTATTCCCGAATAACACAGAATACCCCCTCCCCCAGATTGTGAATCGCACTCGTTTTCACTTGCAGAGGAAATGCACTCACAAAATAAAAATACCTATGTCTTCTAAGATAAGATACAATCTAACATGGCATGTTTGTATTCATTTTCTTTAGTCTCCGTAATCGCGTAAACAGCGTCAAAACTCTGCTCGCTCGTGGAAAAGTCGAACTCAGCCATGAAATGGTATGTGCTAAGTATTCCCTGAAGAATACTCGAATTGAATCAAGGTTTTACCAGTTTATTCATGTATACAGGTACATAAC